ATTGAAGTAAGCCTTTCAGTGTCTGAGACTGTGAGACAAGAGGCCACACTAGGGGAGCTATCAGCCACGCCAACGCACCAAGTATCACCATCCAGAAGAAGAAATGAGCTGCTGAGGTAATGAAATATGACGCCCATGGTAGCATTCTGGACCTTACGAATGCGAGCTGTCCGGAGCCCTGGCTTGCCTTGTGATGAACTCGTCTGTTAGGTTGCTCCAACAAACAAGCAGCTAACCCCTGTCCTGCCCCTGACAGCTCGCAGCGACGCCCAGCCCGATGTTCCTTGCAAGCTCACCACCCATCGGCGATGTCTGGACTCTGATTCCCTGAGAGCCTCCGGCGGCCCCTCTCTTGTGCGGTGTGCCTGATGTTGGCTGACGGCGTTGGCTTACGTTGGTACGGACTTGGCCCCGTTGCCCGTGAAAAGATCTTTGGTTGTTCGTGCAGCAACATCAGGCAATAGACAGGAACCAACATGTCTGCGACAGAAAATTATGTTCCAAAAAAGGAAAATGCGACGCCGCAGGGCTGCTCAAATTACCACGTTGCTCAATGTCGGTTGTGAAATCATCAGAGATGCAGAGGACGCACTTCATCAAACATCATCGGGGTGTTATTGGTGATGGTAGCCACAATTCGATATTGTGCTGAATCACAAACCCCAAAGTGGGCGCGCCGATTCAGACCCAGTGTTTAAACCTTCGGAGAGGCAGAACGAGGCCACAGCTTTCATCTTATACAGATGGCGCATGGAGACCGTCTCCGCGCGCGCGCTTCAACGAGGGTGGGCTTCTCCGTTTCGTTCAGCTTCGGGGGGTTTTCCACCTGCCCGTTGAACGGTTGAAGGGTGATCTTGAAAGTTGAAAGAAGGCTAAGAGCGGCGAAGTGCCGGAGCAGTCGGGCCATGCGCGCGTCCAAGTAGCATTAAGCTAGTTAATAAGGATATCGAAGTGGGCTTACACCGAGTCATGCGGGATCTCATTGGTTGGATCGAGGCTCTTGAGATTGACCAAGAACAACTCGAAAAGTCAAACTGGCGGAGACAAAGCGACAACACCTCAACCTGCCATCACCTTGGTTTCTCTTAAAAGCCAGACCCGCCCTGATTTGGGATTTAGTATCTTGGCACCTCCGTTTGTTATATCGTCCATATTGAGCGTCCGCTCGTCGTCATCAGGCGTCGCCAACAGCGGCCGCCACTTTGGGGGAGGAGGAGGAGGCGGCGGAGGAGTAAACTAACGGTGACTCGTGAGACGGACTTTGACGGAGAGCACATATTTTCCAACACCGTTGCGCGGATGATGGGCCAACCAGTGGTCCCTCATCTTATCTCCCGCAACTTGCAGGCACTTCATGTACGGGACCTTTTCGACCGACCTTTTCGACCTCTTTCCCATTTCTATTTCCCAGCCAGCTGGGCAACTCTACGGATGCCAAGCCGAGCTAACAAGGTTGCTTTGCTTTTCCTGCAGGGCTATGCAACGCCCAAGCGAGGAACCCCAACCATGACTCGGCCTTGTTTGGGGAGTTGGGAACTTGGGACTGGAGTTCTTGGCCGTGAATCTTGGCAATTAAAACGGGATGAACATGAATGGGGTTGTTCGTGTGCTGCGAAGCTGACAACCCGCATGGGCGCATAGGGGGGTCCATGAAGACTTGGCAGAGTTGGATGGGATATATGGGCGGCTCGCCGTGTCGAACTTGAGTAGTTTCCCGCTTTCCTCTCTTTCTTTACTGCTAGTCAACTGTCTGTCTTCTTGTTGTAAGACACCGTCACTCGTTTCTAACTACCAAAGTCATTCTTTTATATAATACTAGTCATTCTTTCGCATCATGCATATCAAGACCGTTGCCACCTCGCTCCTCGTGGCCGGAGCGGCTGCCTCCCCCTTCCGCCGCCAGACCTCGAACGAGACCTTCTGCGATGAGGACCTCCCCGTCCCTCAGCCGAGCAGCACCAAGGCTCACTTCCCACCTTACCCCGTGAACACCACCATCCCCGGTGTTCCTTCCACCCCCGGCGGCTCTTATCCTCCCCCGTCAACCCCTGGAAACGGAGGCAACACTGGTTCCGGCTCTTCTGGTTCTGGTTCTGGTTCCAACACTGGTTCCGCTGGCTCCTCCGGTTCCGGTTCCGGCTCTAACACGGGCTCCAACACTGGATCCAACACCGGCTCTTCCACCGGATCCTCGACTGGCTCCAACACTGGTTCCAACACTGGCTCCAACACTGGCTCCAACACTGGCTCCAACACTGGCTCCAACACTGGCTCCAACACTGGCTCCAACACTGGTTCCGACAAGGGCTCCGACAAGGGCTCCGACAAGGGCTCCGACAAGGGCTCCAACAGCGGCTCTTACCCCGGAGGAGGCAAGCCTGGATCCGGCGGCTCATGGCCTTCAGCTGCTCCCTCCGCTGCTGCCTCTGCTCCCGCCGGCAACGTCCCCTCGTACCCGGGCAAGCCTGCCGCCGGCTCTTCCTACATCCCCTTCCCCCAGAACACCAGCATTCCCACCGCTGCTCCCTCCTTCACCACCATCCCCGGTGTTGCTCTTCCCACCGAGCCCATCGCCGTCCCCAGCACCACCGTCCCCGCTGGCAACAACGACACTATCCCGGCCTCCACCTCCAGCACTGCCTCCGGATCCGTCTCCGCCAGCGCCACCGCCCCGGCCACCAACATCCCCTACGGCGTTGCCATCACCAAGTGCACCGTCGAGGGTGACTTTGCTCTCACCTTTGACGACGGCCCATTCACTTATACCGACCACGTCCTCGACCTTCTCGCCGAGGCTGGCGCCAAGGCCACTTTCTTCGTCAACGGCGAGAACTTTGGCAACATCGACAACTTCCAGGATGTCGTCAAGCGCATGGTTGCCGACGGCCACCAGATCGGCTCGCACACCTACAGCCACCCCGACCTCGCCACCCTGGGCGATGCCGACATCATCCCCGAGATGACCACGCTCGAGGATTCTCTCTTGAACATTATCGGAAAGTACCCCACTTACATGCGTCCTCCTTACTTCAGCTGGAACGACAACACCCTCTCCATCCTCAAGGCTCTTGAGTACCACGTCATCCACGCCGATGTCGACTCCCTCGACTACGCCAACAACGCTCCCCTCGGCAACCTCACCAGTGTGGGCATCTTCGAGAAGGGTGTCGATGCCGGTGGCTCCATCGCTCTGGCCCACGAGGTAAGTTTAACATGATTTCACTCAGAAATCTCATTTTCATTTACATACTAACGCCCGCTTCAGGTTCACCAGAACACCGCCGAGTACCTCGTCCCCGAATTCCTCCGCATCATCAAGGAGAAGGGCTTGAACGCTGTCACCGTCGGCGAGTGCCTGGGCGACGCCGAGGCCAACTGGTACAAGACCAAGCGCACCTCCACGCCCACCGCCACCGCCTCCAAGATCGTCGTCTCCATCACCAGCACCGCCACTCCCACCGGCGTCATCGGCCCCGACGGCGCCTGCGGCGGCTCCAACAACTACGTCTGCGAGGCCGGCGCTTGCTGCTCCGAGTACGGCTTCTGCGGAACCTCCCAGGCCTACTGCGGTACCGGCTGCCAGCCCCTCTTCGGCGTCTGTGGCGTTGCCGGCCCCGTTGCCTCTGGCGGTGATGCCACTTCCAGCGCCCCAGCTGCTACCCAGACCGCTGCCACCGGCGGCGTCAGCCCCGACAGCTCCTGCGGTGGTTCCAACGGCTACACCTGCCCCGACAGCACCTGCTGCTCTGAGTACGGCTTCTGCGGAACTACCACGGCTCACTGCGGCACCGGTTGCCAGCCCATCTTCGGCACCTGCTCTTAAGCTGGCCGCATAGTAGGGGGTTGTGTGTGTGTACATGTAATAATGGTTACATTAGGTTGATGTGGTTATGGAACAAAAAGTTTCCTTTATATATCCTGTGCATAGAGTCAATAAAGTGTATCTGTTACTTCGTCTTTGGATATAGCCAACCTAGCCATCGGAAACCCCGCCAAACATAATGTTGCCCCGTTTCGACATCAATATTCATGTGATGTTGTGATCGAGCTGGCAAGCTGCTAGGTAGTCTGCGGCTGAAACGGTCAATTTCAAGCGCTCAAGCCACGAATCTGCTCAGATTCATGAGGTTATTTGAGGAAATCCACCATAATCGTGCCATGTAACTATTGACCAGGCTAACGAGAGTAGGCTCGACGAGCCGCTTGAAGACAGCGATTATCGCGGAACTCTGTAAAACCTCATGAGGAGGTGATCAAACCCGCATCATAGAATCCCCGACGACTTGTCTTTGGCAGTCGTCGTTCCTGCAGGAACCCGAGCTGTGCATATTACGGAATCCGGGGCATCGACGGCGGGCGGATGCTGCCTTGGCGGGAAATGACTTAACCATATCTTCCGCGAATGCCCACCTATGATTATACGGCGTTGTAATCCGCTTATCGTGCAGAATCGGGACAAGCTGCATCGGGAAACGGGTGCATATTGCGGGGTCGGCCAACGGGATGATAGCAGTGCGGAGGAAGGGAAGCCCATCCACCCCAGATATTACATGTACATCTGGGAATATCGTGCTCCGTACATGGGGTTTCGTGCTTTCATCCCCCGACGGTGAGTGACCGCGATGAAGTCCACCAGTTGCATGCAAGACCGATGTAGGTGGCGGGATATGTGTTCCTGCAGAGATCGGTCTTCCTGTTCACGAGGTTTCCTTTCATTGTCTTTAGTCTCTCTCAATGAATTGTTTCTACATGAGGAAATCATCGTCATACGGTCATACTGCTTCATTGAGCTTCGCAGAAGCTGCAGTTACTGCCAGCGAATGACACCCTCATCGATCATCATTATGCCGAGACCTTTGGGGCAGATGCTAGGTAACAGTGCATGCTTTTCGTTGATGGTCGTCATATCGTTGTCTCTTGATAGTTGTATAAGTTGCACCGATCACATAGCACTGCCCTGTGCTTGAGTCATCTTCAACTCCTCATCGATTCAACTTTGAATGTCGGTTGCCGCGATGCTTCCCAATTTTGGTTTCAAGTGGTCTGTAGTCCTGTTCGCCCTTCTTGGCCTTTTGTCCTCAACCTTGGCTTCCCCAAAAAAGATCCTCGAAGACAGAGCCGTTTACACTTGCACCGTTTAAGCCAACAATGACGGTTCCGATGATTCACCAGCCATCCTCGCAGCCTTCAAGGAGTGCCGCAAGAATCGCCGGATCATATTCTCCAACACGACGTACAACATTCAGAAGATGATGACCACGACTGACCTGGAGAACACCCAGATCGAGATCCATGGGACGTTGCTGGTGAGATTACACAGCATCATCCTTCTGGTCGTGAGCCATCTATAGGTGCTGATAACTTCTACCTAACACACAGTGGAGCAAAGACACCGACTATTGGCTCAGCAACCCACAGCCGACCGGTTTCCAGAATGGTTCTGCGGCGTGGTTCCTAGGCGGAAAGAATGTCACAGTCGATGGTTTCGGGTACGGGACCTTGGATGGCAACGGACAGACATGGTCAGGATCCCGCTTCTCAACAAGATTCGTCCAACTCGAGCTGACATCCACCGTTCAGGTACAACTTAGTCAAGGGCCAGTCCAATTACCCTGACCGCCCTCATGCCCTAGCAATCTGGAAAGCCTCAGACATGACGGTCAGAAACGTCCGCATGGTCCAGAGCCAGATGTGGGCCATGGCAATCATGCACTCACAGAACGTGCTGTTCGACGGCGTCTATATCAACAGCACTACAAACAATGGGTACCCTGCTAGGAACACGGATGGCGCAGATACCATCGACTCGGACCGCATCACGTTCCGTAACATGTACATTCGAAACGGCGACGACGCGATCGCCATCAAAGGCAACTCTACCAACATTCTAATTGAAGATTCCACCATGGATCACTCCCTGGGTATAGCCTTTGGAAGTGTTGGCCAGTACAAAGGCGAGTTTGAGCGCGTTGAGAACGTCACTGTGAGGCGTATCAAGGGTTTGGGAACTCGGCACGGCGCGTATGTGAAGACGTGGACTGGAGATCAGGTGTCTTACCCACCGAATGGAGGTGGAGGCGGTGTCGGATGTAAGTGAAAACCGAGAAGCTTCTCATCTTGTCCCTTGAACCTAGATAAGACTTGCTAATGGACCCGGGTCAAGATCTCAAGAATGCGAGTAAGTCACCTAATCTCCACCGCAAAGGCCTTTCAAAAAATAGTCGTAGGAACCTGCTGATAGCATCGATAGCCCTCCTCGACTTCGATCTCACTGCAACACGAGAGGCGCCCTTCCTCATTGGCCAATGCACCAGTTTCAGTGGTCAACAAGGTGACTGCGAAAGCAGCACGTTCAAGATTTCAGACATGACGATACGGAACTGGGTAGGCGATGGCGCGTCTAGCTACGTTGCGGATATGAACTGCAGCCAAGGCTCCGGAGGTTGTGAAGACATCACTATTGAGGACGTTGACTTGAAAAACACCACAACCGGGGCTGATGTTACCAAGTACCGATGCCGAGACGTTGTTTCTGTACATGATTTTGAGTGTAGCTGAGATACGCGAGGGAACTCAAGTGATCTGCGCGAGCTTACGATAAGCTGAGCCTCTTCCTTCAATGGTGTCAACTCAGAACCTTGGATGTTGATAGCGACGTCACGAAGCCTCAAGATCTAAGTCCTCAGTACGCAAGTGGACGGCTCCGTTACTCCAACTAGACTATTCGAAAAGTTGAACCTCGACCGATGATCCCGAACGTTCCTGCGAGCCGTGCCCCTCCCCCTCTTGATGTCGGTGGACAGACTTTCAGCCCGACGAAAGCAGTCATTCTCGTCTGTGACAGAAGCTTGGGTCCATCTCAACTTTCATTCATATGCCAGACGCAGCGACATTACCCTTTGCGCATATATGACGGAGCATGCTAAATAAAGTATGGAAAGAGGAAATGCCATCCGGACATGGACCCAACGTTAGCCGACGGGTACCTGTTGTGCTGGCCCAAGCTCAACGCCTCACATCCAACCAGGTACGTACCCAGCATATGCAGGTCCCGGGATCGTTCCGGGCACGTGGACCCGCACCCCCAGCTCTGCCCTTTGGCGCCGTGACAGTTTCAGACACCTTGCTGCTCGTATCTGTTAGTCTTCTACCCCCGATCTCACGCTTATCAGTACAGATAAGCGAGTGGTATTCTAACAAGAACCTTGAGGGATCGTCGCTGACGTAGCGGGTCAGGTTGTCCGGGGCACCCATCGGAGACAGCTTCAAGGAGCTCTCTATCTGTCCGTAGCCGTACCTTCAGGCACCCGTGACCGTGACTCGCCAACGCATCACGTCAAACCCGCCTGGCCTCTCAGCATTTCCATTCTCCTTTCCCCGCAAGAAGGCGAAGCGAACGGGGTGTGGTATTCTATTTCCTCGAGCTCCTCCGCTTCTTCCTCCTTCCTCCTTCCTCCTTCCTCCTTCCTCCCATCATCCAAACCTAGCAAACACATACAAACACCAACAACCATGGCGAAACACCGAACATCACCACCTACCGTCCTCACGGCCGCGGCCGCTGCGGCAGCAGCCCTCTACCTCCCCCTCGCCTCCGCCGCTCAACCCGGCGCCGCCTCTCCGGTCCCCGCCCCGATGCGCGACCTAACATGGGGCCAAATCAACTTCCTCCACACCACCGATGTCCACGGCTGGCTCGGCGGCCACCTCCTCGAGCCACAATACTCGGCCGACTGGGGCGACTACGTCTCCTTTGCCGAGCACATGCGCCGCAAGGCCGACGAGCAAGGCGTCGACCTCCTCGTCATCGACACGGGCGACCGCGTAGAGGGCAACGGCCTCTATGACGCCTCCTCCCCGAAAGGCCTCTTCACCTACGACATCTTCAAGGAGCAGACCGTCGACGTCATCTGCACAGGCAACCACGAGCTCTACCAGGCCGACGCCGCCCAGCGTGAGCACGATATTACGGTGCCGAATTACAGAGAAAACTACATTGCGAGTAACCTCGACTATATTGACCCAAATACGGGCGACCGCGTCCCGCAGGCCAAGCGCTACCGCAAGTTCAAGACAAAGAATCAAGGGCTCAATGTCGTTGCCCTCGGCTTCATCTTCGACTTCACGGGTAACGCAAACAACACGGTCGTCCAGCCGGTCGAGGACACGGTCAAAGAGGAATGGTTCAAGACGATGCTGCGCGAGGAGAAGCCCGACCTCTTCGTTGTCATCGGACACGTCGGCCTGCGCATGCCCGAGTTCAAGGCCATCTTCACTGCTCTGCGCAAGGAGGCCTGGTTCGCGCCCATTGCCTTCTTCGGCGGCCACGCCCACGTCCGCGACGCCCTCTCCTTTGACAGGGAGGCGTATGCCATTGCCAGCGGTCGGTACGGCGAGACCATCGGGTGGATGTCCGTCAACAACGTCAAGAAGAAGTCCAAAGCAGATGCTGCCGACGACGAGGTCTACGACGAGGCTGCATCTTCAGTCTCCTTCTCGAGAAAGTACATCGACAACAACCTGCTAGGGCTCTACCACCACACCGGCCTCAACGAGACGACCTTCCCAACAGAGCACGGCAAGAACGTCAGCAAGCTCATCACCAAAGCCCGCAAGGCCCTCGATCTGGACTACCAGTACGGCTGCGCGCCCCAGGACCTGTGGGTGAACCGCGCCGCCTACCCGAGCGACGACAGTCTCTTCACCTGGCTCGAGACGCAAGTCCTCCCGGACGTGATCCACAAGGACGACAGGAAGGACGTGCCGCGCCTGGCCATCGTCAACACGGGCGGTCTCCGCTTCGACATCTTCAAGGGCGCCTTCACAAAGGACAGCACCTACATCGTCTCTCCCTTCACGAGCACCTTCAAGTACATTCCCGACGTGCCCTACCCCGTCGCCAAGCGCGTCATCGACCTTCTCAACAAGGCCGGCAAGATCTTTGCCGAGACGGCGGGCACGAGTGACGTTCGCTTCATGAATATACCCGAGATGATGTACCCCAAGGATGACATGGTCATGCTCAAGACAGAGGAAGACGCACAAACGGCCGGCGAACCCCGCCGCCTGGAACTCCGCCACATGCCCGCCGACAACCAACAACCTCTTTCCGACAACGACGACGGCGATGACAAGTCCAAGAAGCCGGACCTCATCGGAGGCTACACCACAAAAGACGATATCGGCACCGACGGCGACGACACGGAACACTCCCCCATCACATTTTACGAAGTCCCCAACTGCATCCAGACAGAAATCGGCTTCCCCAAAGAGGGCGAGCCGGAGAAGGTGGACCTCGTCTTCATCGACTTCATCCTGCAGTGGATCATTGTCGCGCTCAAGTTCAGCGGGGGCGAGTACAGCGAGAATGACGTGCTGAGCTGGTCCGACGAGACGCTGACGTACAAGATGGGCGAGTGGATCAAGGAGAACTGGAAGGGAGACTGTTGAGACGGCATAAAACTAGTAGAGACAGATCGTCTCCTTGAGATATTGCCTGCCTGGGTTTTTGTTTGCATTGTTTATTTGTTTAGATTGATTTTCAAGCCTCAGGTAAATGGGGTCACTCGGTATTAGCTAGCTAGGAGTTTTGTTTTGCAAAGGGATCTGAGTCCCGAAATTTTTGCTTTTCATCGGGCTGTAAACAATTATTACCCTAGTCTAGACTAGGCCAGACGTTTATACTACGAACGTGAATGTCGGCACGGAACCGGGGAGATTAGGGACAGGATCATAAAGTATGCCACATGAATGGGATGGATTGGATGGCAACACAGGTAGACCGGTAGACTGGGCAATGAACAAGCATAAGACACACACACTCACCCATCACGTTGCGGTCTCAACAATGCCGAGTCAGAATACATTGTCACCTGGCGCTGGGACTCTTGTGCTCGGTCGCATGTTTTTTTTACTGGGCACATGTTTAGTTCGTCGCTGTCGACTGTCGACGGACCTGTCAGTGTCACTCACCCACCTGAAGGACGCAACTGAACCTCGTATCGGCCGCTCACCGGCAGACACGATGTCGTCCGGGTCCGACTCCATCCTCTACACCGTCCAAATTGCATGTGAGCGACAGCGACAACCCTCTGCGCGCAAATCCTCCTTTTCCCGCCACCCCTTTGCATGCTTTAATCGTCTGCCGTGTACCACTGTGGCGCACGGCAGAGGCCGCGAGATGAGGCAAGCCACGCAAGCCAACTTGGCGATATCAAGATTCACAGAATTCGTTCGCTAGAGAGTCCAGACTCGCAACTGTGTCAAGTTTGGATCTCTCCTGCTAGCGAGTGAGAGATTTCTGGTCTCTTTTGGAAGAGCCATTTATCCAACCGACGATGGGAAGCCCGAGCGAAGTGCATTAGTCGTCGTTTAGCTGGCGCGGGCCGTCCTCTTGTCTTTTTTAGGGGCAGTGGCCATCGCGGGCGGCGACGCTATTGACAAAACTGTCAGCTGAAGCGCGGCGCGAAGTGAGGACCAAAAGGATGCAAAGTCGTCCGACTAAAGCCTGGTGGGTTTCCTTCAGTAATATGGGTGGTCGGGAACCAAGGGGGTGGATGATGGCGCCGTCGTCCTTTTTCATGCGTTATGCGTCTCCCTAGATCTGGGCCCTGGCCTGTGTGTTATTCTGGTCTTGCTACACCAAGATAAGGGACGGCATGAAGAAGAATCGTACTCTAGAGTCTAGCGTGACCCAAGTATCGTAGAGGACGCATACATGCGTGTGCGTGTGGGGGGGCTATTCAAGAAAGACGAATGAATCGGCTCCCGAGTCCGCCCTTAGCAAGACCGCTGCCCGCGTAAGGAGGATTGTCGATCCGGCGGAGGGTTTCTTGTCCCTTGGATATGCCCACAGACTTCTGCAGGCAATACGAGAAAACAAAAGGTGTCGTGCTCGCCTGTAGATCTTCATTGAAGTTTGGACACGTTTTGACGTCGACGGTCCACCTGTGACGGAGAGAATCTGATGTCACTTCCCTTGATAGATCGTGGATATGCCTTCCCACCTCGGCATCGAGTTCGTCGTTAGGGAGAATCGTGCCTCGTGGTCCAGGGGATTATTTGGGCTTCTAGGGTATCATCGGGCTCCATCGACTCCATGTTTGTTTCGTTTCGTCAATTGACCAACACGGCAGTGATGTATGAACCTGGCCGGGGGAACAAATAAGTTTCAAGGTCTTTCGTTGCTCGGATGGAGAAGCCGGCCCAAAGAGAGCATGCAAGCTAAAAAAGAGCTTCTTAGTCCAGGGACACAGGGGGAACCCCTTTTTCTGTGAGCTACGTACCGTTGGTTTGGCATCGCATCTCGTTTCTTCTGAATGGCAATGGCCCTGGCTAAAATGCCCTCCCCCCTGCCTAGGTATTTACCTACCCCCCTCCCCCGAATTAGCACACCAAGCATAAGCTTCGCGCAATTCAGGAATCGTAGGTACGGTGAGCATCTCGAGTAATGTACCTTTCAGTTGGCCGAACTCTGCAGAAATGCAGAACCTGCAGACATTAAACCTGCGGTCGGTAGTGGGCTAACGAAAGATTTTCGAATGAGAGAAGCCGTAGAAACTTCGAAAAAGAGATGAGTCTGCGGGTGTTGAATCTCGCACAACCCTTGATCCTGGACTCAATTGGGGTGGTATTTTCCGGGGGATTGCGTCTTATCAAACTGTATGTTCCTTATCGTGGGACCTCCAAAGTGGCCCATCACGCGTTCTTCCATTGTCCAATGCCTCCAGGGTTGGAAATCGCACAAGGCTCGTCATATCCTTTTTTTTTTTTTTTTTCCCAGGGGTCTTAGTCGTCTCTCCCTTTGCAGTTCATCCGAACTTCGTCACAACTCGAGCCGGCTATGTGCGAGTTTGTGGGTGCGAATCTGGATGAAGTGCCCAGTGCCCACAACCTCCTTGCAGCTGCAGCAAAAAGGATTCCATTTTGTCACCCCTTCTTCTTCTTCATTGCCCCCCCTTGAACACATTTGGTCGACCTCCCCCACTCGTGCTGTTGACGTGCGCGCGTGGAGGCCCTGCCCCCGATGATGTGAAGCTACGTCAAAGGGGGAAAAGTGCGAAATTGCACACACAATTGCCAATACGGCCACCAATCCCCAGCACGAGGGACGTGTGCAGCATCGTTGTGTGTCGCTCTCTCACCCGGCTGCCGTTTCATTAAACACCAATCCAAAGAGGGAAAATGTGCCTGGGAGAGGGCCTGTTCTCATCTCCACACTGCAGTCGGTCGCGGTCCACCCCTCGCTGGCGACAGCGGCGACGTCGCAATAGCTCGGTCTGCTCCGGTTCATGTCCCCATCGCAAGTTCGTTTCCTTAGACTTTTGTTTCCCGTCCTTCCTCGTCTCAGCCCTTCACGATCTTCCACCATCTCTTCGTTCTCTCGACTCCTTGCTGGTGGCTACTTCTAGACCTGTTTTGCAAGGGATCGATATCAGTCTCATCGCTCTTTATCACAGACATCCCGCCAAGAAGAGACTCACCACACTTGTTGCTTTTCCGCTCATAAACGCAAACCCTCACTCAACCTTGTCTCGACCCAGAACCCACTCCACCGGAGCTCTGTCCTGTCCACTGATCTGGGCAGCTCGTCCATCCTGGCCTCCCTCTTCGGGACGTTATTACTGCTGGGCCCCTGATCTTGTGACGGATCAACTGTCTTGGGGCCGCGAATAAGGATCGTCGCCCTTGTCCATCACTCAACGCTACCTCCACAACTCGAGCACTTTCATCCGGAAAAAGACGCGACATGGCCCGTATGCAATAACCACCACCGCTCGTCCTCTCTTTTCACGACACCGTTGTTCCTACTCGGTCGCCTTCCACGCCTCCGAGTGCTCAACATTGGAGCCGTGGCAAGCACTTTTCACCAATTGTTCAATCCCCTCGAACTGGTTCTTCCTTCATTTCGCATTGCCAAACTCGTTTGATTGTTGACCTGGACGTCCATTGCCGAGATTGGGCCCATTCGCTCTCTCTGTGCATAGCTCACAGCTGTTTTATGCCCTTCTTTTGTTCTGTATGCCCCTCACCACCACCCCTCCATCTCGCTTCATGGGCCGATCCCGCTGACCAACACAGTTTCTTGATACCCTCTTCATAACGCAACCATGGTGTCTTTTTTCGGGTTGAAACTCGGGGCCGATAAGAAGAAGTACGCTTCCAGCTCTCTGTCGTGGGAATATGAACTGACTTTGTAAAGGAAACCCGCTGAGAAGGCTGAGTTGAAGCCTCAATGGAAGAAGGTTGACCAAAATACTCTTGGTCAAGGCCAATTCTTCGGACAAGATATGGACCGTCCAATTCTAATCAACGGATCCCGCCCCGGCACAGCCATGTCGAACAAGAGCTTCGCTGCTAACTTTCGTCATCCGAATGCGCCGTACCTGAATGGCGGCTCATCTTCTCTGGTCGATCTGGGTGCACCTGGCGTCAAGGGTATTCGACCTGTTGGGTCTGAGGCTAATTTGAATATGCGCTGGAACAACGGTTCTGTGACCAGCCTGGGCAACATCGCATCTTCACCGATCATTACATGTAGTAATGGATCAGGAAGCAGACCGGGGACACCAAACTCAGCCCGGGCCAAGGCTTGGGTCAACCCTCTCGACGTCCACTTTGCTCGTGATAGTGCTGGCTCCAGGAGCGACGGAGCTCTCAGCCCGGCGCCGAGTGCTGCACCAAGCGGGTATCACTCTCCAAACAACATATCGCCTCTTCCTACGCCGACCGCAGCAAACGCACCTCGAAGCCCTCTTGGACAGTTTGAATTCAACCTTAACCCGTCAGACTCGTCGAAAGATGACAAGCTGACTCCGGCTCCGTTGTCGCCCACCAAGGCCTTGCCTTCGCCTCCTCAATCGATTAATGGTTCTCTCCCGCCATTGAGGACAGATCTTAGACCAAAGACGGCAGTCACCGCCGTTCGTGAAGCTCACAGGCCGCGGCCGGCCGCCCTTCCGTCCCCAACCGCATCTACAGGACGCTCCAGCGACGAGGACCATTTCTATCCTAGGCCAATCATCCAGAATGTGGCCGCAAAGAGGGACACCCTCACTATCACCACGCCAAGAAGGCAGAGCTTTTCCATGGATATCGACAATGATCCTACTGCACTCGATTTTGGTATGGCGGAACGAGGACGCACACTTGAGCGAGAGAGCCCAGTCATTCCAATAAGTCCTGTTATACCAGTTAGCCCGCCGCCGAGGAGCGCCAGGCGACCGCGTCCGCCAGAAATGAAACTTCTGCCGCAACCTCCCAGGAGCGCCGGCTTGCCGCCACCCAGACCGCAGCAGGTGCCATATGAAGGACCGTTGCGGAGCCCTGCCCGGCCTCTGGACGATTGGCCCCCTGCTAGACAGCGTCAGGGTTCGGATGCACGAGAGATGATCTCTCCCATTAGAGACGGGGAACGTGCCCAGTACGATAGCCGTGAACGACAAGTACCAGAGCTCAGAGAGAGAAAAGATTCCGGCGGTCGATCTCGCGATGATCTTCCTTCCCCGCCGCAGGGATACCTTGGACCCCCGCCGACATCGAGACGGGTCGCCCCAGGCGAGGGCGAGCGGAACTACGGAGTGACACCCGCAAACCGTCGACAGCCTCCGCCTCCCGTCGAACTTCAGCGCAAGGCATCAAACCCGCAGCAATATCAGCCGCCCAGCTGGGACGATCGGGACGTCCATCACGGAAACTTCGCAATGGTCTCACCTCGCATGCAGTCGCCGCAGCCTCCCACGCCGAACAGCTTGATTCCCGAGGCCTCGAACGATGCGAACTGGCCGTTGCCGAGCCCGCTGGCAAGTCCAACATTCGGAAGCCAGAGACCGCAGACACCGAAAGAAAAGGCAGAGGCTCAACAGATGAGCCCGCCGCCAGTAATTCCTCCGCCTCGTGAGCGAGTTGACGCGAGGCGGCCAGACTTTGGACTGAGGGCCCCAACTGGTATTGCAGATGAATTCCGGGTAGGATTCATCTAGATCTCAGGAGATGGAGCCTCGTAAAAGTGTCAGCAAAAGATGCAACCCATCATGACGCTGCAGTACATGTGTCATACCTGGAGACAGGGACAGGATATATCTCGGAAAATTTGAGTTTTGGGGCAATGAAGGGCGGAAACATTTGGACTTTTTTTTTTTTCTTCGCATCTTTTGATGTTGGTTGGGGAAACAGAATGGCGAACGGAGCGAGGTTCGACGTTGGAGTTTGGTTCGCGAGGTAGTCATCAAATGATAATGTAATCATCCCAATCCAGGCCAGCCCGGTCGTGACTTCTGTGCTCTAATTAGGTAGGTCCCTTCCTTGTTATTCTTCAACAGACCGTAAGGTACGCGCCGGGGACATGACAAGTTACGGCATCATATCACGGCCCGAACAGCTCGGTGGCTCCTTCCCCCACGATCACAGTTCGCTAGAGATGTTGGAATCAACCGTGAAGTAAGAAGATGACAAGCTTCTAATTCCGAGGAAACTCCAGGGCTTTCAAACCAGATACTCTCATCAAGATCCTGGTGTTGTGTATATTTATCTCATGCTAACGTGTTCAGCAGAGGACATCAATAATGCCAAGTGAGACGTGAGCATTCGGTGTGGTTACTTCCCGATGACTTCCAACCGCAGTATGGGGCCGTCCTCGGAAGGTATTCACGAAATTTACATAAAGATCTAAGTATAACATTCACTGTCGGAATTTTCAACAGCGGCGGACATAGCTCAGTTGGGAGAGCGTCAGACTGAAGTCAACTTCAATCACTTAATCTGAAGGTCGTGTGTTCAATCCACACTGGCCGCATATATGTTTTGATTTTTTGACTTTTGAGTTGGCCAAAAGCTTTATCGGGTTGATATTCTGCAGACAGCACGCATTTTTAAACTGATCAGTAAAGGTCAGGTAGGGCATACTATATTTGGCATTGTCTCTCTTGTTTGCACTGATCTCGAACTGATTGTTTTAGACTTCATCCCCGGCGGCCCGTGTGTCCGTCCCTCCTTGCCAACAACATCACTTGTTTTCTTTGAGACGACAAGGAGTAAAGTGAGAAGAGAACGTTTGCACCAAATCCCAATACATGGAACTGATTAACTTCAATTCTACCGGCAGCAGCATTTAAGTACATTTGTCTACCAAGCCTTTCAGAGGAGAGCATCCACAAGCGCAAACTCGTCATTCAAGACAATTTCTGAACCGGCCGAGCCCCCGGCTTGCACGACATATTTCTTCGCATCTTCATACAAGCCAAGTCAAGATCTTCTAGACTCGCGACAAACCACAATAGGCGCCCCCGGGCAGCACCCACATTACGTGCAGATCGGACCGCGCAACACGCCTGGCTCAGCTGTCACAGCTCAGTCGAAACAGGGGAAAATGCGGGGGGCTAAGGAGCGCGAAGTAACGTCAGAGAAACCGTGAGGCTCTCAGGAATCACCCTCTTCCCTCCTTCTCTCCCTCTTGCTCGACCACAGCAACGTAGCCGTGAACGCGACCCAACTGCTAATTCCCGCCCGCTGCATCTCGAAGCCTGGGCGGCTCGGTAGACATGGGTTTCCAAAACATGTCCCGCTGCACGTCGAACCCCGCCACCCGACGGGGCCCGGGTTCGGGTGTGCGCCCCCTTTTCCCCAGAGAAATAGCCATGAATTGAAGCTTATAGACGCCCTCGCCAATGGGTCGACAAGGCTAGTCGCGTGAGGTGCAGTGGCCCTGGATTGGATACGTTTGATTGTTTGCCTTGTCACCTTTAAGGTATTGAAGGTTTTCCATCACATCCGACCAGGGTGACGACGTAGGTGTTCCATCCAACAAGGGGCGGAAGAAAGCACCCCATGCCCATGTTTGAGGTTTTCCGGACGACGGGCATGCCATCTAAACTTCCGATGTAGCGGAATGCTTGTCGTGATGTTGGCCAAGATCGGATGTCTGACGCCCAGCCGTCTGGTCTTGTGGACATGAGCGACTGGGGCGACTGGTACTGCTGCTTGGCTGGGTGAACTCCTTTGGGCCCATGCGATGCCCTTTCGATGGGACGGCACTTGAGGGCGGAGTGGTGCAGGTATAAGGATCGGGATGTTCTTCGAGCTGGGACTGACTTTTTCTTCCTCTCCTCTGCTCTTCAGTCACTGCGTGATCCAAATTTGTGCTTTCTTCTTGTTTGCAACCTTTCATTTCAGTGCTGTGCACTTTTTCGATTCAGTCAATCCCATCTTTATTCAACCTACCTGTAATCCTCCTCCATTCCTAGGCACTTACAGGACTTTGGCACATACTTCAAAATGCGTTACACAACTATCACTCTCCTTGTCATTGGTCTTCTCACAGGCAATGCCTTGACAGGTAAGCCCCTCGCTCAGTCTTTCTCTATCCATCCTCTTCTCAAGACTTAACAAGACTGACATACGTTTCGTACAGCACCTGCTCCTCAGTTCGGCGGCGGCGGCGGCGGCTTTGGAGGTGGCCGTGGTGGAGGTGGTGGCGGCGGCGGTGGTAGAGGTGCCGTAGGTGGTGCAGGCGCAGGAGGCGGCGGCGGCGGCCGAGGAGGATTCGGTGGTGCCGGTGGTGCCGGTGCCGGTGCTGCCGGTGCTGGTGCTGCCGGTGGCGCCGGAGGAGCTGGCCGCGGGGGCGGCGGCGGCGGCAACAGAGGTCAGAACGGCGGCGGCAACAACAACGGCGGCAACAACAATGCCAATGCCGGAAACGCCAATGCCGGCAATGCCAACGCCGGCCAGAACAACAATAACAACAACCAGGATGATGCCGCTGCAGATGACGCCGCCGCTGATGACGCCGCAGCTGATGCCAATAATGGCAACGCGAACAACAATAACAACCAGAACAATGGCAACAACAATAACCAGGACAACGCAAATGACAATGCGAACGCCGACGACAATGCCAATGCGGATGATAATGCCAATGCCGACCAAGCAGCGGACGCGGACGCGGCGGCCGACTTTGTTGGCCTGGCTTGCACCGATGGAACTGGTGCTGGCGCTTGCCAAGCAGACGGCCAGTGCGATGTCAACGGCGACGTCAAGGTTGTCGCTGGGCAGTGTGGCCAGGCCGCTGCCGACGCCTAAAAGCAGGCGGTGTTACTATTGTTGTTGAGTGTAGCCAAATGGTCAGTTAATGGAGGAGGTTTTTATATTGTGCCATGGCTCTCACCCACCTTAGGGTCTCAAAAGGTCCATAGTGTTGAATATAGATGTTGATTGAAGGAAGAGAGGAGTTCACCACCGGTGTGGCTACTTCTCTGGGTGCTCATGCTGGGATTCGAACTCGGGTAGCCTGTCGTCGAGTAAGGCTGTGGGCGATTTGATTGTCGACCTTGAACCACCCCACCACCCAGCCAGTTTGACCTGAACCGTCGACCTAGACGGGCGCCTGCTGGCTGGTGACGGTAATGGAATTGAGGGGATCTATATGGAACTTCCTGTGTATATTCAGGTGACGGATGGTAGGAGAGTTACGTGGAGGAAGGCACGTTGGTGTCAATCCCCAAGGCTTCGCGAGCTTGACCACTTGGACCCTTCACCCGACGTTGATTAGCGACCGACGCCGAACATGATACAATCGGACAATGGGAACTTTCGCATTTGCATTCGTATTAAGGCCATTTCACTGCTTAGGCACTTGCAACAACATTAATGTTCATCTCTTTGAGCTGCAGTCGTTCTTGATTTACGCAGTCCGGATACCCCTGAAACTACTGAATCGAGAAGAGTGGTATTACAAGACTTGCGTCCCTGTCGTCTAAGTGAGTTTTACATAGTGTACAAATCTAAAAGCCTTTCTAGCTCAGATAAATCTTGATGGCTTCGTAACAGCCAATATACAACCCGCCCCCAAAAGCCGACGCCAGAACCGTAACAGTGACACCTCTAAACAACCCACGAACGCCTTCTTTCAAGACAATCCCCTTGGCTACTGCAATCGGACCAATCTTTGCCCGAGCCGAAGTACTTGCTGTCGTTCCAGCTCCATTCTCGCCAGTCACCTCCCCGCCAGCCGCGAGCCTCATCCTCGTCTTGACAACATCAATAGGCACAAACAAGCTCGAAGATACGCTCCCAGCCACAGCAGCGCACAGCCCGCTCGCGAGAACCTGCTGTGGCACGCTCCCCTCCTGGGATTTCGAATCCCCTCCGAGGAACCGTTCCTTGAGAGTCTCATAGAGACAAAACATCAATGTGGTATTAGGCAAATCACTCGCCACAAGCGCCGTATACCCAGCCCACAACTTGGTCGGCTGCTTCGCGAAACGCCTCAACGTGGCAATAGTAGGAGACGCACCGCTGCCACTGCCCTTGTACACCTGCGCATTCTGCTTCAACACCTCGGCAGGATTCGTGATAGCACAGCTAACAAGACTCGCCGCCGCGCCGCTTGCACCGTACAAAACAGGCAACGGCACGCCCGAAAAGCGGCCTTCCTCTTTCGCACGCAGCGAGTAGCCCTTGAGCCCCTCGTAGATTGTGAAGAAGGCTGCCGACGATGGAATACTGGTGATGATTGTGGGGCCGAACCCCTGGTACAGCCCGAGGAAGAGCGTCCGGCTGACGGCGCCGTTGACGGATTTGTACTGCGTTGTGTACATTGGCGATTGCATCCGCGTGATGAGCGTATCCATTGGATGGATAAGAAAGTCCACGCTCAATGTGGCACCCGCTGCGGCCTGCATTTTTTCGATTAGTGAATCCGTGACGGAAAGCTTCTGAGTGTTGTGGTGAATTTACCGCGACAACCGCTTCCATCCCGATGGCAGACGTCATTCTGGCCACCAAATGCTAGAAAGCAATCAAGAGCTTCTCGGTTTGTGGAAGCCTTCGTTTCAATGCATTTTTGTTTCTTTCTCCCTATTGAGCACAAGGTTCCTAGATAACAAGTCGCAGTAGCGCGCGTTGATGAAAAACTCGAGGTGACGTTTTTTGATGCCTCAGGGGGCGGTACCCGAGAATTCCGCCACCCGCCTTAGATTTCAGGTCTGTCCCTCCATTATCAGCCAATTCAGTCCATTGACGATCGGTAAGATGGAACTAATATACGAAGGACGATTAGGACCGAGAAATTGAATACTTCCTTGTTCATTCGTTGCCTGCTAAGATAACTTCTCATCGGCTCTGCTTGTCTCGGTTTAAGGCGTCTTCACCCGCTACTCACCGAGAAGACATGATTCACTCGGAAAGACGCAGCGAAAGGCCGCCTCAAATGCACCATTTGAGACTCAGTTCTTGTTGTAGACAAGTAGTCATTAGTAAGTTGTAAATGGTTGAAGTCATTGAAGTATACTAAACTCAGACTGCCCGTCCAGTTTACGTGCAGCTTCGGTTAGGAGAACACTATTTCTCTTCGTTTACCCGTCGCTCCAAAGCATTCTGAAAAGAAAAAAAAAAGACGATTTCTTTACCGAAATTCAGATTAACTCCTTTCACCCAGCTGCCTTTGCTTGCATTGTCCAGATGATTGGTCGTGGCAATCAGAGGTCTTTCAATCCAAAGCACCATGCGTAGACCACTGAAAGCTCTGGTCACTTCACAATGAACGTGATTCAGTAACAATGGTCTTGTCTTGGATACAGTCTTCAGTCTCCCTCATATAAAGTCAGGTGCATTTCCTGCTCCCTTGGACAATATTCCGCACACAAATCATCAACCCAACCAACAGGCAACGCAACAATTAACACTACACTACACAGCTTTTGTCCCAACAACCTTAGCTAACAAGAAACCATGTGCGGCATCAAACAAGTCGTCGACGAGTGCAGAACCTGCCGCGGCATCGTCCTTATAGAAGAGGTCCCCATCATATGCCAAAGGAGAACATGGACATTCCCTGACACCTTTGGACACGCAAAGACCTACTGCCCCGACCAAGGACGAGTATACGTCGAAAAGAAGCCAAGAATCAACCAGTGCCGGGTCTGCCGCTGGGACTCACTCAATATCACAACGAACCTGGACATGCCCTGCCACCAGCGCTCAGATAGCAGCCTAGGTACTCGCTCACTATCCCACGGTGTGGAACAGAGCCGATCGACGAGCCCTTGCCAGAATGATAGTGTCCTTAGTGTACCGACCGAGAAGGAGCCGAAAGGCATGGTTAAGATGGTGAAAGGTTTCTTTGGTAAGTATCTTTCCAAGGTTATTCCTGGGGTTCGTAGGTCCTCGCAATCCACTTCGTCTTGGTCGGCTCTAGACCAGTGGGAGGATATTTGTGGTGATGAGGACACCAGGGACAAGAAGAAGAAAAAGAAGAAGGCTTCGTCTATACCGACAGTGATTAAGGTGTAAGTTCTTTAGAAATATCATTGGTGGGCTGACTCTTGTCTGCTCTTCCTCACACCCAAAGTAGGAATCATCTTGGAACATCCCTTTGCTACGCTACCCCGTGGACTGTGTTTTCCGAATATTGGTCTAGTGGTTGGTCTATTCAAAAGTTCAAACTGAGTCTCCAATCCCTCAACATGGTGACCTCGCTTTCGCCTAGGAATGGTCTTGCATGACAAGCTATTAGGCGAGAGTTCCCAACGCTGACCACGGCGCAAGTCCCATATTCCGCTGAACAAAGGCTTGCCGAGGCTCTACGTAAGTATTACTCAGACCTCGGATTCAAGTTGATGTTTATGCACAATACTCTCCAGACGTTGGTTTATGCTATTGCTTTACGATGGAGATCATCTCACCGACTACAGGGGCTACCTGCAACGGTCCCCAATCGGCACCAGCGAAGCCAAAACATCCAATCATCATCTGCCAAGGCCCTCGAAGGGTGCGTTCGTCCCATCAAGAATTGAAGAGACCACGACTACAAATCAATAAGTGACGGGCTCGGGTAGTTGCAGACACATCACGATTCTGGTATGAGAAACCCGAATGCGAGATGCGAACAGGGGGAGCAATCCACCGTATTCGTATCGACTTGCAACCATCGTGCACCCGTCATCCAAAAGCGCTACAACCTCATGGCTCAAGCGTAAATGTGATCTGCAGCCAGGCCCGTCATTCGAGCCCAAAGCCGAGCATCGCTTAGGATAATGTCTGCCTAGTACTCCGTACAGACGATAAGTCACGATGAGGGTCTTCACATCTACCTAGCTTAGGAGGGGCTTCAGCGGCTACTTCCCACCCTGCATTGAGCATCGATTCTACCGTAAAGTCCCATCAGAAGCACACATGGCAATGAAAACTTCATTCTCATGATAAGCACAGCGACATATGCAACAAGCCAGGGCCAGTGAACCGTGCCGCACGGGATGATCCCAGCCCAGATACCCGGGGCTTCTGAACCATAAGGAGTGGGGGTGGAAGCGAGGCGGGAAGCGGGGGGGGATTCCCATGAAGATTTCGCGGGGAAGCTTCTATTGGGAATAAGGTAGGCCAACCTCAAAACAAGAGAACATGGCCAAAAAGCCAAAGTAGACATAAGCCCAGGGAATTTTGCGAACATTGCATTGTCCCGGAACCGAATACGATGTCACTCTCCAAATACCAGGGGTAAGACGAGAAAGAAGTCCTAGAGGGTTCCACGGGCACGTCAACGGCGCCGAGGTCAGCGCCCAATCGAGACGTCTCTTTTCCTACTTCCCCCACCAAGGATCGCCCCGCAACAGCCCCTCCCTCCGTCTGACGATGCAGAGATGTACATAAATGGCCCACGGCGGCGACCTTCAATGACGCACGTGGAGGAGCTCTCTCTCATTAGAATCAAGAGCATCTAGGACAACATCACTCACTCTCATTCTCATTCCTCACTCCTCACTTACAACCCACTCACGACTCAATCACGCAATCTGCCTCGCCACTTTATCAATCTTATCTGAGCTTAAAACCTTTTGCAAAAGTCAGAATAGCACAACTAAACCTTCAAGGTCTCATCCCGCAATCTAGCAGCACTCGGGCCAAGCCCCCCTCTCACCAAACACCTATTCACCACTCACAAATCACACATCACACACAATGGCGACCCGCCTCCCCGGCACGACCGTAATCGTCACCGGCTCCGGTGGCGGTCTAGGCAAAGCCATCGCCGAAGCCTACCTCGTCGCCGGCGCCAACGTCGTAATCTCCGACATCAACGAGGACCGCGTCGCCGCTGTCACCTCGGAATACCGCGACACCTACGCCGGCAAGCTCCACGGCATCGTCGTCGACGTCACCTCGGAACCCTCCGTCGAAGCCCTCATCAAGGGCACCGTAGAACGCTTCGGCCGCCTCGACGTCGTCGTCAACAACGCCGGCGTCATGGATAAGTTCGACCCCGCAGGCGACTGCGCCAAGGAGACATGGGACCGCGTCCTCGCCATCAACCTCACGGGCCCCTTTTTGACGACGAAGCACGCCGTCAACCAGTTCCTCGCCCAGGGCGGCGCCAGCGGCAGCGGCGGGCCCGCGGGCCTAATTGTCAACATTGGCTCCAACGCCAGCTACCGCGGCCTCGCGTCGGGCATCGCCTACACGGCGTCCAAGCACGGCGTCATGGCCGTCACCAAGAACACGGCGGGCTTCTACGGCGACAAGGGCATCTACTCGGTCGCGCTGCTGCTCGGCGGCATGGACACCACCAATATCATGGACGCCTTCGCCGAGGGCGTCAACCAGGCCGGCATGACCAAGGTCACGGCCGGTATGCCCGAATACAAGCGCGGCGAGACGGGGCTGGACCCGGCTGCTGTTGCAAAGTACTGCGTATTCTTGACAGATAAGGATATTGCGTCGTCGGCGAACGGGAGCTGCGTCGTTCTCAACAGGAACTGGCCGCACGCCTGAGCCTGACTTCTCTTCATGGAGGTTTGGAGAAGAAGGGAGGGGTCACGGATGGAAAAGAGAGCCACGGATGCAGTGCGTAAAACGCTTGGAGTTGATGAGATTGGGTAGTAGCTTGAAGTAGCTTAGTTATAGGAAAGATACCTTATGAATGTTATTAACGATTACCAAACATCATCACAGCTAGCATATCATCGCGATTGGGAGGGCTACGACTCATATATTTAATCAAGTGGAAAATTTGATGGTGTTGCTCCTTCCGACCCAAGGAACAAACAGGCTTCAATTACACAAGGTCCATGAAATAATCAAAAATGCCTTGGCAGGTGAGAGAGAGAAAGATTACGATCAAAAGGGTAAAAAAGACACCTTGCCGCTTGATGAGCGGCAAAATAGAAGATGCGGCCAGTGTGGATTGAACACACGACCTTCAGATTAAGTGATTGAAGTTGACTTCAGTCTGACGCTCTCCCAACTGAGCTATGTCCGCCACTATCTTCGAGGATGCTGAGCTGGTTCAGGGGTCAAGTGGGCTTGCACAGCGGGGCGCGATCCCCATCCGCAAGATCCCCACCTTCGGGGGCATCATCGTCAAATTCGAGGGGTATCGTGAGATTGCAGAAACAGCTCAAAACGGACAGGAAGATTTTCCCTATTGTGGTTTAAACCCAAACTTTTGGAAAAGGGTAACGGATGGCACCGAGGATTGAGGGGTACCACCCGTCTAAGCTTCTAGGCTACTTCCCTGGTCAACCTAATTCTTGACGGTGGCAGATGATCGGACGACGCCTCTATTCAACCTCCCGTCTTAGGCCCGGCTCTCTGGATTGCTAGAGCTGTGCTAAAAGGTACCAACTTCATTCATCACCACAAACCTATGTCTATATTTATATTATCCATGATTGCTTCTCAGGATGCACGGTTCGTGACGCTGTGACTAGCCTCCACTCTCCATTACATCTTTCCCGCTCTCCGTCCGAATGAGCTGCCTGTCTCTATATCTCGTGAGCTTCGTTGTAGAGTATTTCCTTACCCCTCATTTCCTACCTTATTTATGTACTGGGGTGGTATCCCGAAGACGATACTTCGTCTTTCCCGTAAATAGATAAAGAAACTCCGCGCTTGATGCCACCACCATTAATCCTCCGTACTTAACCCTGGAGCCCACGATGAACGCCTTTAAACTCCCTCAAGCCCTCTCACCCGTCCCCTGGCAAAAGCCCAACCCTTCTATCCCGCTCATCTCGAAGATGCTTCTCCTCACCCTCTAACAGCATCTTTTCCTCCACAAACACAGTGTCGCCAGCCCGGAACTTCTCCCGCATCACCCCATTCTCCGCATTCAAATCAGACCCAGACCCGGACTCGAGAGGCTGTGATTGCACCCGCCGTGGCGAAGAAGATGGCTCCCGCACAGGCGGCACCATCACCTCGGGAGGCCACAATATCCGCCTAGCCTCATCCTCGCTCAACACCTCACCCTCGTCCTCCGAGCTATCATCAAATGCAGAAACATCGCCGCCGCCGCCTCCAGGACCAGGCGACGAAGGAACAGCCAAGAACACATCCGTGACAGTCTCTTCCATACCCTGCGTCCGAATCAGCTGGCCCCCCAAATCGCCGTCAGAGAACACACCCTGAACGACCTCTGCCTCCGTCTCCGCCCTCATAGCATCAGCCTCCCCCTTGGGCACCTTATTCTCCCCCGCCGCAACAACATCCATAGAAGTCAACTTCATCAACGTCCTCAACCTCGCGTCCCCGACAAACCTCCCCATCAACACCGCCTCATTCTTCCGAAACGTCTCATAAAACCCTCGATTCACCATCGCCGCCGCACGTAAGTCCTCCACGCTGTCCACACACCTTTCCAAAACCAACAACCGTACTGCGTCAGACCTCTCGAGGACCTTGCCCTCATCCGTCTCCTGCCCCCGCTCCTGCTCAAGCTGAAAAGCAAGGTTCTTCTTCTTCTTCCCATCCGAAAAACTCCTCAAACCCCTATGCAAAACAGCCTGCGGCTGCGTAGACCGGTGCCTCGACAACCCCCATCCGTGAGCCCGCCCACTGACATCATGCAACGTCAACCCAGACACGCTGTTATATATATCATTAATGGCCGCGTGGAACGCCGGCGCGGGATCGCATACCCCGCCCTTGTGAACCGCCAGCGGCGGACTCGCAATGGTCCGCAGCAGATCGACGAGCTGTGCTAGGCTTCGACGGGGTGGTGAGTGTTGCTGCTGCTGGGAGCCGCCGCCAGCTAGGTGCCCAAGTACCGATGGGTTCATGATGGTGGGCAAAAGCTCCAGTTCGCCGTAGATGAGCATCAGCCAGCCCAGATTCGTCGCGTCGCAGCCGTGGCTTCCCTTGGGACACCTGGGCGTGCTGGTGAACATCAAAGCCGGGACAACATTCGCGGCCGTCGTGGTAGCGGACGAAACTTCGGAAGACGACATCGATCCCGGCACGCGGTCTCCAACCTGATGCGACGGCACCACACCATCACCCCGACAGCCCGGCCTCAAGTACTCCCGAATCGTACTGACGCAACACTCCTCAACCTGCGCCATCTTGGCCCCCCTCACCCCCCAAACCTTGTCTTTGATCCTCCTCGGCCACTCCATCCCCTCCAACTCCTCCTCATCCACGAGATTCAGTATAACAGTCTTGGACATGCGCGTAAACAGCTGCCGGAATCCAAACGCATAGCTAATCAGCAACCAACCCCTTGGCATCGCCTCGCTGCCCCGGTGGATCCACTGCGGCAGCCAGCGGTGCTCGACAAACAGCTCCAGCGGCGACGTGCACCGGTACCGCAGACATACCTCCGCCAAGGCGACGAGCTGCTCGAAAGTCACTTCGCGCGGGATCTTGTCGTTGTGCATGTGTGCTGCGTGCAGGAGGATCGTTAGCGCTTGCTCGCGGTCGAGCTCGAGCTGCGGCATGCGGTAGAGTTTTGCTTCGGTGCCGTCCGGGCAGATGTATGGTGTCGGCGGGGGCGCGAGTTGAGTTGTTAGGTCCTCGTCGTCGTGGACCTCGATGTGCGCGTGCTCGGTGAACATCCTCTCAAAGATGGGCGACGTCTCAGCTAGCAAAAACGACGAGACACGATACCGCAGCACGGGTAGCAGCGCTTCCGTCTCGCCGGCTCCGATATTCGCAAACTCAAGAACGGCGTCCCCTCGCGGCGCGATATTAAGCTCCTTCACCGGCCTCTCATCCGTAACACCCGACTCTCCCAGCTGCAGAACACGCGTGACCTCGACAAGATCCTGCTTCACCCGGTCGTGGTTCCTAAACCGTATATCATAAAGCGGAAAGAAATCTGGGCTAGGCGAGAACGTCTTGACGATACTGGTCCGCCTCATCTGCTGGATCGCGGCGGCGCGGAAGACTTTATCCTGGAAGAGCGACTTCACCATGCTCGGCGTGGCATCTGGCTCGTAGTTCCGATACGTCTCTGATAGCGAGATCTCGAGCGCTTCCACGAGCGACTCGATGCATCCCTTCCAGTCGCGGACGGCAGACAGGCAAATCTCACGCATGGCTGGCCCTGGCCCTGGACGTGAACCTCCGGCGCTCTGGCCGGTCGTCACTTCCGAAAGACTCCTCCCGCTAAAAGAAGACCGAGTAAATATCGACGCAGGGCTCTGCGGCACCTCAAGCGACGACTCCCGTGACGGTTCCCGGCCCCCCTCCGCCCACGCCGCCCCGATCATCGCGTGCCCTGGCGGCCCGGGCGAAGTGGATGTGTGCGCGTGCGCGGGCGCGGGCGTGGAGTTGCGCAACAGGGCCCGACATAAGGCTACATGATCCTTGACTTTGGCATACTCCTTATACGCGGCGTCGGCGTCCTTGCTTGCGAGCGTCGAGCCGACACGTTGCGTAGATTGCTGAATCTGTCGAAGGTTGACATCCGAATCGTTCACGGTGCCGCCGCCGGCGGAGATGGACCCACGGGACGAATCTCCCCCGCCAATCGGCTCCCCGCCAAACTCAAAATCGCCAAGTCTCTGTCCTCGCAGTGTAAGCGGCGTCCGACAGCTCGAGCGTCTCATCGCCATTGCAAAACGTCAGAGGGGGTGATGAGCCGGTGAGTGGTGGTTGACGAAGGAAGGAAGAGGATGGAAGTACGCGCAGAAGTGCTCTCTAGTGTTGGCTTTTTCCCAGGGTAAGGTAGTGGGGATTTCAAACTCACCGTGCTGCTGTTAGGCTTACTACCATCGTCCTTTGCCGAGCTGATGCTCGATATCTTGCGCAGCGCATTGCTCAACCGCCTAATCTTAGGAGACGTCGAGGCAACATCGCTCCGGCTGCGTTGGCGCCCCATCACTCAACGCCCGCCAGCTGCGACCCCAGATGCGATGCGATGCGATGCGGCAGCAGCAGCAGCAGCAGCAGCAGCAGGGGACGGCGGCGTCCGAACCAAAGGGAGTCGAAAACGCAGGGATCACTTCATTTCCCAAACATCCACCGATGCCGAAAGGGGATGAAATGGGGAATGGGCCAGTGGTAGAGACTTATCGTTAGTGTACGTGTGTACCTGATAGTCCGGTTCTCAGAAACAGCAAAAAGGCAGCGAAACGGACGGTTTTCAGACTGCGTTTCATGGGTACAGACGAATTGCTTCTGCCTTTGGGGGGGGGATAAGCAGCTGTATCCTTTGGGGGGGGGGAGACCTGAGGGGCAAAATACGAGACATATTGGGGGCCATCCGGCCGGCCAGGCCACGTTGGGAATTTTTGCCTTTTGCCAAGCAGGGACCGCGGTGGCATTGTCATTGGAGCCCCGGCCACCTGAGGTGAAATAAGGCTGATTGCGGGGTTCAAACCATTGCATCCCGATGACGTAATCTTGCGTCCCCTTCCGAGACCCTTATCCTTGGACCTGGGTTACGCAACCTGATGATGGCTTCACACTACGTTCGCATATGTAATTCATCACTTGGCATCGCATCGTCCGTAAGACTGACTCCCAGCCTGGTGTTCACATCAAGTAACATATCCCGCACATACACATTCTCACACGCACAAACAAAGTGCTATGAAATGATGGCCTTTTTTCTTAAACGCTTCCCGTCTATCTGCTTACACTGACACTGATCATTGATGTCTTTTTTCCACTCCTTTGATGCGGTCATGCTGGCTTCCTCTGTCACCTCTCTTCAGAGACAGATGCCCAACCATTCCCCGCCGGGTATTTCATGACAATCGAAGCCGTCCTAAATACAGCCCTTGTTGCGTTATCATCCACACACCGTCTTGCTTCCTCTCCATGTACCCTATCCCCCCCCAATGGTATGACTTTGTTGACAAAAGGAAACTTGATGACGCATGCCTAACCGTAACCCATTTCGAAGACCGTTGCTGCAGATGCGATGAGACAAATAATAAACCCTGCCGCCCGATATAACGCAACAGTGTTCCCCCCTTGCCCTTGAGAGACCTCGATAGGGGGGAGACGATAAAAAAATACGATTGAGGCATTGCTGTAGCCCCTCCAACTTCCATGCTTGAGCCAACACCGTCTCGCTGAGCTGGCCATCCTCCTTGTGCAATTCATCCATGTGTTGCTCTCCGCACATCCTCGTGCTCGTTCGCTGATCTGATGTTTGTTTGCTTTTGCCAGTTGCGGCCCACCTTCGAATAGGACTTGACCGCTACAAGTCCATCTAGTGGAGGGTCTTCGCCCCCATACCAACTCGATTTCTGAGCTCTTGCCCACCACCTTCAAGCCACAGGTGCATTGCAGCATATTTGCTACAACCGATGACCAAACTCATTGCTCTAATCCAGAAGCTGCGTGTCCAATACTTGGGCGTTGCCAGAGTTTGCAAAAGGGTAGCATCCGCGTCTGCAGAGGCCACTCATCTTGCCTGTGCCCTATCCAAGAACGCTTGAGTAAGCCTTCTGCCGCGCAACGAGAACCGTAGACGTATGCAAATGCGGCGTGTTGAGTCTTTCCCATACCCTTAGCCGCCCTTTCGGTCTGCGTCGTGCTTGGGTGGCTGCTCGCTAGTCGCGGATCCGCCGTGGTTCTTCGTGTCAGCACCCTTCTTGCGGCCCTTCGTAGCCTTCTGCCATGAGCTCTCAGGGCCGTGGCTTTCACTCTTGGCACCGCGAGTGTGGCCATTCTCTCGAACGCCGTTGACCCTGGAAGATTGGGCCTGAGCCTGACCAGAGGTGTGTGGCTGCGCCTGAGACTGAGCTGTAGCTTGAGATGAACGCTGTGCGGCCGTCGAGGATCGCTTCGGCGAATGAGTAGATGCATGGCCTTGCCTGGATTCCTTTCCGACCGATCCCTTGCTGTCGTTTGATCTGTGCCCTGAGCCAGAAGGCTCAGCGTGAGCCTTCGGCGTTGAGCTCTGTGAGGCCGATGGGAGCTGATCGGCTCTCGATGCAAAGTCATTCTTTCTCACAATTGTCGGTGAAGGAGATCTGGTCTCGTTGATAGGTGAAAGGTGCTGTGCGTCAATGCTCAGCTGGTGGCCATTCATCCTGTTTTCTCGAGTTGCGAGATCGAGTGGCGCTATTGCTCCACTTTGCTGTCTCGACAGCGCCCTCTGACGAAGGGATGTCTGCGTTCCGTTTACGACATCTGGATATGGCTGCGTTTGCACTTGAGCTTGCGGTGACCAAGCATACTGATTCATCGACATGAGTGCAATCCTGTCACGAAATGAAGCGTCGTCAATCGGCTGGGATGCAGACTGCTGGGGCGCAGAAACAGAAGCAGGTGAGGCCGAGGCAGTCGCATTGGTAGTCGACGATGGCGTGGTAGTACCGTTGACAATCACCGGGGTCCGCTCAGACACGGGAGTCTGGACTGGTTCAGACCTGGGGAAAGCTTGGCCATCCAACTGCTCTGGGGTGTAGCCGCTGATTCCGAGACCTTGAACTTGCAGCGTGTTTTCTTGAGATGAACGGCCTTGGTCGTCAGCTGGCGTTGGTTCCGTCGCATTCACGGCAGGATTGTGACGTTGTGATGGCGTTGAACTCGTGCGCAGAGATAATCCAGTACCGTTGACTATCAAAGGCCGCGAAGCTGCTCGGGGACCGTTTGTACTGCCAGAAGCAACCACTGGAGCGGGTGCTACAGAGTTACCTCCGGAGAACGCCCGGGCATGGCCAAGGGGAGACGGTGAACGAGATGTTCTTCGCATTCTGCGGTCCAGGATAGTCTGCGGGACCTCGGTCGACAACCGACGACGTCCTTGGGCTGGCTGAGTCGTGTCCGCAAAGGCTATGGCGTTGGGCGCTACTTGGGAGTGCGCCGGGCTGGAGGCATCTGAAACGTAGTAACCCAAATAAGCTCCTTCGTCAGAGGCAGGCGAATTGCTCGCTGGGGCCTGAGAGGCTTCGTCATATTCCACGTCACCTGGAACGCCGTTCGAGACCGGGATTCCATTCACTTGCCGAGTGGGATTTGAGCTGGTGTTCATCGGCGTGCTAGTTCCTGGATAAGCCTGATTGTGCTGTGCTGTTGGGGCAGAGCGGGAGGCAGGCTGCGACTGAGACCTAAGTGAGCTTCCGGAAGTCGAGGCGCCCGACTCTGTTGTCACTGACGATCTTTGAAGACCTCTTCGATATTCTGGCGTGGTAGTTGCCACCGTCGCCGGTGAAGAGGGATACGCGAAGTTTGACTGGCCGTAATACGCCGCCATGGGTACTCCGTACATGCTGTACCAATCTTGAGGGCCAGCGATGGGAGCACTCAGGGGCGGATTGTCGAAAGAGTTGGTCCTAGACCGTTCCGGACCCTGCTGCGTTGCTGAGGAAGACCCCTGCATCCTCTGAGCAGCGTGCATTTGGGCGGCCATCTGGGCCTGGACTTGCTGATAAACCTGGGATTGTGTATAGAGCTGGAACCGAATGTTATTTTCTTGCTGAACCTGGGCGGCCATGGCTGCACCTACAAGCGCGGGGTATTGCTGATGAGACTGTGCCTGTTGCGCGTACCACGCAAGATCCTGGGGAGTCATAGCCACTTGAGGCATGTACATGGTGTTGGTGTCGTAGGCAACGCTTGACGAAGCTCTCCTGTTCGAGTTCGTATTCCGCTGAAAGTTGTTCGAGTGTCGGCCTCCACGGAAGTTTCCACGACCTCTGCCAGAATGCTGCTGAGAAGAACTACGGATCATGACGGGCCTCGAGGTATTTGGAGGGCGCTGGAACACCGGTGTCTCTTCCTTGGGGTAGACGTATTGCTCGCAGCATTCACCCAGTTTCCCTTCAGAAATCAGGTCAAACGCTCGTCGCAACTCCAGGTGGAGACCACGGAATGAGTACTCATCCGCGGTGTTGCCCAGGTTGCGAGCTGTGTTGAATGGCTCCTCCACGCACAAATAGTTATTTATGCCAATGTGCCATTTCTTTTCCATTCTCGTTGCTTTCCGCCCAAGACGAATCGATATAACGTACTTATCGTAATCGAACTCGTACGCGTAGAAGCGGAAGAACGCGAACAACAGCTCACCCAGAGACGCCTCGTTCTTGGCGCCGAATCCGCTCAGCTTGTCCATGTCATCGGCGAATGCACTCTCGGGCCCGCCGTTCTTAGGGAGCCGTTGATGCTGTCGCTGGTGGAGCGAGGGGAGCACCGGCGGGTCGCGAAGCTGGAGAAATCCGATAATGAGGCAGATCCACGTGTAAGAGCTGAGGGTACCACCGAACGCTGTTTCGATCAGTAAAATGTGCGAAGAGTCAAGGGGGCATAGCAACCCATACCAGCATCGTTTACGATCCTCTGCCGCGTCCAGTACTTGATGACCATGGCTAAGGGCCGCACTCGAGGATCGATCTCTACGTATGTTCGGACCATTCTCGTGTTCTCCAACGCCAGAGTATTGTTCACGTTCATGTCGCATGCGAGGCCGAGCTCGGGGTCCCAGATCTTGACGATGGGAACTTTGGCGCCGGAAATGCAGACCACCTTTTCCATGCCCTCTGTCGTGGTTCATGTCAGCAATGTTTCTCTCTGTCCAAGGGAATGGTTGACGTACTCTTCGCAAGCAGTGCTGCAATCATGCAAACGTACTCCAAGTCCTTCCAAGGCGTTG